CTACACAGATATTCAATGTGAATCATTGTTAATTACTACGAACATTTATTTTGATTACCTACATTTTCTCTTAATGGTCTTATGATGCGCTAGAACAACTCCTACCTACCAAGTTGCTGATTATATCTAGTATTTAGTTGGTTAAAACAAGTTGTCTATAGTGTGTTATTGTTTTAAATGTGAGAGAGCCATGCTTCGGCACGAATGGGCCGGCTCGACCGGAGTGATACCACGACCTCACAGAAAACCGACGTGGAACAACGGTTGCGTTGTGTGAGTGAGGTTACCGGAGGTAACTATTACTCGTCCCCAATCTCCCCAATCTCCGAATCCCCAATCATTCTCAAATTCCTAATCCCCAAAAGGCTGGAAACGCACTCGTAACACTTCTGGGTGCTTACTCTTGAATCCAATTCCGATCGATCGACATTGGAATTGTGATATTTCGTACTCTCGAGTTGCAACACTAGCGCCCATTGCATCCGTATTGCGTGGAAATTGAATGAACTAAATGGTATTGAATTTGGCTTTATATTCCGTACTCTGAATGCTATTGTAACAGCTACGATAGGGGTTGTATAGTTTTGACATTGAATAATTATTGAGATTTTATTGGATTGAAATTGCATTGACATTGAGATTGGTTTCAAGAGTAAGCACCCAGGTGTTTCGACTGTCTATAGGCGATGCGATTGCTTACCATCCACCCTTTGCTCGTTAACCGGCTTATTTCATAAAAAAAATAGTTTTTACTTTGAAAGTCCTTGTTTGTGGTCTTCTTGACTAATTGACATTTTAATTTACGTTGTAAACTATTTAACTAAAACTAAGATACTTGTATTGTAGCGCCATCTGTTGATAATTTTAGTTAATTATGAAAATGTTTCAGTTTAGATAATTTTAATTAATTTTGGTTTATTATTTTATTGATATTGTCTGAAAAGAAAAAGTTACTTGTCACCATTCCTTTTCTTCCCGCGGGTGCCCGACTAATGGAAAACACCATAGATAAAATATAATAAAAGAAGTCATTACTTAACATTTCTGTGGAAATCACGTTTTACAGAAACTGGGTATCAATAGCAACAACGGTCCTTGACTACATACCTGAATCTTTTAGACTGCCATTTCCAATACAACCTGTCTGCTAAGCGTGAAGATTATGGCAAACTTTCTTAGGTCGAGAAGGCAGAATGGACATTGAACATGGACTATCGATGATGACGATGATGATAACCCTGATGATAGTTAAAGATCTAGTGATCAAACAATAGAATCTAATGCAGATGTTAGTTTCAACTATCAAAGTACCCAATTCAAAGACGCAAAACAGCGCTAGTGTGCGCAGTAAATGCTGGTTAATGAGAAATTCCACCTATTTTTACCTAACCTCGTTCGTTTAATGAACATTCCATTTTACGACAAGTGAACGCTCATCACAGACTTAATGGCGGCACTTCCGGTTCATTAGCACGTAAAAAATAAACTATTAAAATATGGATTCGTGAAACATTCGCTGTTTTACGACGTTGGAGGAAGTTCTATAGATTTATAGATCATTTTTATCGAGTTCGGATCATTAATGTTAAGCTAGGCTTCGAGTCCAGTGGTTAACGAGTACGATTCGTGAATGTGAGGTTCCAGGTTCAATCTATGGGTCGAACACAAAACCTTTTTTGCAAAACATACCTAACTAGGTATTAACATGAAGAATAGCAAAACTTAAAGTCAAAATATAGATTTTAGTCAATTGAAATAAAAACTTAAATGAAACTAAAACTAACTGTTACAAAATTAAATATATACAACTTAAGATTAAAATTAATTAAATTAATTATTCAATTTGTTTCTGTTTTTGGCAGTAATGAATATGAATCCAGATTTCAGCGTCATAAAATAAGTAAATGAAGCACTGAAACTTAGTAATGCAAACTTAAATCACTAATCTGTCCAAATAACTCATGCGTAGATGTTAAAAACAATTGTCTACTCGTTTATATTAAAACTTTCGTGAGAATTACTAAATTACTTAATTATTATGTTTTCTGCTTACCCACATAGTAGCAGCACGACACGGCGGCAATCGTGCGATGTCGCGGAAAGCTGCTCATGAATATAAGCCTCTAGCATGGCTTGAAACTAATCGAGTTCCTTGTCAAATAATTACGTGAGTAAGCCGAAAACATATTAATCAGTCTACCCGTTTATTATGGGATAGTGTCACCTTCGGGTTTTGTAACAAAGTCTCATGGCCAACAGCTTCCACTACAGCACCTACAGCTACACTAATAGCATCTAATCTAAATCATTACACAAGCTATCACCTACCTTTCCTAGCTACCAAATAGAGTTCGTGGAAGGCCACCCAGCGCGTGCGCAGCTGACAAACAAACCGACGAAGTACAGAGCACGGTAGCTACAAGTACGAAGGTACTTACATTTCTTTGGAAAACTTCTTTATGAAAGTTTGGGAGCTGATTACATCATGTCTGCTGTTCTCCGAAGGGGTAAGCAGAGATGCAGGTATCAGTCACTTCAATGGCATAGTGGTAAACTACTGTATTATCGAGGTAGGAAGTGGGGTTTCTATGCCTCTATTAACTATTTAGATTTCATCTCAGACCCTATCAGTATTTTTTTTTAATAACTGGAACCAGCCATTGGTTGGATTCGAAGCCACGTGTAATTTATTAAATAACGAAACCAGAACTTCATAAGACGACAATGTATAAGGTAACCCATTGTTTATCATATGCCTTGTACATTACAAGTGAAAGACAAATATTCCAAAGTCAAAATCATTTATTTCAATTAGACCAGAAAGGCACTTATGAACGTCAACAAAAAAAAATTATAGTGAAGCTATTTGCTCATTCCAAGGTGTAGATTCCTATGGAGAAGAACGAGCAAGAAACTCCAATTTTCCGACGACTCTTTTGAACGTTTTTAAGGATCTTAAGTGAACGTTCAAAAATTACGAAAAGAAAAATGACGACATTTACCTGTTATACCATGTAGAGGTATTATAGTAAGAGGTAGTATTGTCGTATGTTTTTACATTTTATCCAAACATCAGAAGTCGAACTAAGAAAAGGAAATCAATATAAGACATGTCAACACCTCAATAAAAACGCCAATATAAATACATTTCAAAATACATCTGTATAAAATATCTAAATACAAAATGAAAAGTGTGCCTGTACATTAAATATTTTTCAGTAATAAATCTATTTGTATGTATGTCTGTTTGTATAAACTTATATCTCCAGAAGTATCTAATGGACGGATTTAAATGAAACTTTTTCTGTTGTATAGCTATTAAGCTTGAGGAAAATTATAGATTAATTGGTTTTTATTATAATTACCATGAGACATACTAAGTTAAATAAAAATCGCGTAAATAAATACGTAGCCTGCGCTACATCGCCACGACCGCGCACGCTGCTCATGAGGAAGAGCCCCTCTGTGGCTCGAAACTAGTAGAGCTTTTCTCAGTATATTCACGTGAGTAATCCGCGATGTATAGTTGAATTTTAGGTTATTTGGTTTTGATAATTAAAATAAAAAAAATCGGAATAATAAAGTCACTAAGTGTTTTACGCGGATAAAGATGCGGGCAGAAGATAACTTCTACATAGATGTCCGTAACAATAAAATTCCGTAAAACTAATATTTCCCCGGCCGAAACGGTCTACTCCCATCTATTCGCGTACTGATTAATTTATCTGTATTCACTGTCTTTATGTATCATTAATCGAGTCTGGATGAAACACAGGCGCATTGGAAACTCAATAAAACGGGAGTAACGTTTACAATGGCTTGTATTTATTTTAAGTGGTATTATTGGTACACCACCCGCGAACGGTACGGACCACACATAAAACCGAACACAATGTTTACGATCTTTATTGTAGTTTGAGTAGGATTCAATGCTGACGTGTAATTCTTTAAGGTGTTGTAACTAATGGTCTATTTTTGGATATTTCTAGTGGTAAGTATATGTTTTAAAAGTGGGTCTGTACTGTTTGTAAGCTATGTGGTGACGACAGCAATGAATAGATAAGTATATTAATACATAATTGTCACAGTGTCGCCATCTCTTTTGATAAAAAGGCAGCAGTGCTATCTGATAAACCCGATACCTTTAACTGTCGAGCCCCCAAGCGCAGTATATTATATATAAGTGGAGATTTTCGCAAAACCTTCTGAGTTAGAGAAGATCCACATTCCTATAGATGTTGACGCTATAATGGATCAACTGATCAACAGACCAATTGATAATAACTGTAACTGTAGTAAACTGATTGTTGACACAACGTTACTTTATATTCCTTATTACTTCTCTATTCTTCATCAAAATTGATTCAGTTGGAAAACCCGTAAACAGAACTTTTCAGAACTTAATACGTATCTTTATTTTGAGTGTGTAGCTACTTAAATGAATTAAGAAAGTAACAGCGACATAAAATATTTAAGATTAGTATACTTAGCGCCATCTAGCATGGAATGTAGAACAATTTCGTAAAGGTGCACGTCTATTTACGGACAAATGAACGTAATACCGCTACTCAACAATAGATGTCACTATTGCCGAGAACATCAGCTGATTTATTTTAAAATTATTGCTTTGCCAATGCTTTGCTTGATTATTAATTTATCTTATAAAAAAATATTCTGAAAATCATTAAAAATATAAGAGTTAACAATAACCTAACAGATACTTTATAAAGTATATAAAAATTGTCTGTATTTAGACCTAATTCAAATAAAAATAACCAATAACATTTTAAGAAAATTTTATAGAAAATCAGACACTGTAGATACCGTATAATGAAACGTCATTTTTAAAAAGTAAAAACAAAGTCGAGAAAATGACGTTTGTTGTCAGTTGCGCTTTGTTATCGTCGCGATTATTTTCTACATTCTTTTTAAGGAACAAATTCTTGTGTATACATACAGTCAAATCTCTTATGGATGAACGTGATGCAGCGAAGTCAACCATGGAACTCGTCAATATCCCGCCAATCGTTTCTATATACCGGCATGCTCTTCACACCTTCGATGACAGGTACAAAAATGATCTTTTGATTAATTTGGATAAACTGAGGTCTATGATGGACATACTGAAATCTGAGGACTTGGGCTATGACGATAACTTAAAAGACCAAGCGCTTTGGCGGCAACCCGATAAAGCACCCTGTACATACATAGAAGTTTTTCAAAACAACCAAATAAACATGAGTATTTTTGTTTTAAAACCGGGTTTTAAAATGCCGCTCCATGACCACCCACATATGCACGGCCTTCTCAAAGTGATTTCTGGTGCTGTGAAAATTAGAAGTTTTTCCGAGTACCCTCTAAAGCAGAATGTCGATCCCATTGAGTTCCAAAGCATTGCGAGGAAAGAAGCAGTGCGACTAGCGAGCGGCCACCACAAGCGACGGAAATTATATGCTGAAGTCACCTGCGAAAAAGTTTGTTCTGAAAACTCCAGTACTTGTACATTGACACCGACCGTGTCCAACTACCATGAGTTGGAGGCACTCGACATGCCAGCAGCCTTCTTTGACATCCTCTCTCCACCCTACGACACATTGATAGAAGGTATAGGACCAAGACGATGCCGCTACTACTATGTCTCCAATGAAATAAGCACCAACGTAGTGGAATTGCATGAAACTGAAGTGCCAAAATGTTTCTACTGTGATCAAGCACCGTATTTAGGACCAATACTTGGTTAGGTACAAATTTACTATAATTTAGGTAGCTATTTGAAGATTTATAGAAAAATATTAAGTTCCTCGCCATATAATAGTATTTCTCTTGATACCTTCTATCCATTTCTAATGTTGATATGCAAATATTCTAATGTCTCCTTCATATGTTATGCAGTATTTGTTCTAATCATATGTATACATTGGTTAATGTTTTTCTAGCAAATTTATAATGAATTATCACATTATCGTCTCTATGTCCTACACTATACGAGTTACCATTAAAATTAGCCGTTGTCATAGTAAACATTACTGGGTGTTGTATGCATTTATCCATAGCTGTATGAAGTAGAAATAAACTTATTGGAAGTCCGTACATTATCAAATATTAAAGTAGATGATTAAATTTGTTATTACTAAAATGTATATTGCGTAATTTTCAATTTTATTAGATTTGAATGTTGTTTACCTTCCATTTGTATGTGAAATGCATATAAAATTGGAGCTTATAAAATTTATTATACATAAATACTAGTGGCAGTATGCTTAATGTGTTATTTATGAATGTTGAGGGATGTAAAGTATTGACAATTTGCATTATTGTTGTTATTGGTTGTCTTATACTTAATAGAGTTACTATAATTCTATTTCTAAGTCAAGGAAATGATGTTTGTTTTAATTTGATGCTTGTTTTGTTCTTTTTGTTAGGCTCTTGACTCTTTATCTGCGACTTCAGTAAATTTTTTGTAATCTTTATGAAAATTTATAATTTAATTATAACGGACCATGGATTAGGATTTTAATAGCTGTCAAACTTAATCTGTCTGCTAAGTTAAATTACATTTCTTGTAATGTTTTTTATCTTGGGCTGTATGTTTTGAAACTCTCTGTGTTTATTTTCTTTTCCACTTACCTACCTATGTATGTGTCATTAGTATTGTTTTAGTTAGATTATACAATTCGCCATTGTCTTGTGCGATATACCTGTTATACTGTGCTGACAAGAATTTACAATCCACAGTGATATGTCCCGGATTTTCATCACAATAAACTAGAATAAGTTACGGACATATTTCAATGATATAATGACAAGTCAAATTATAGTTTTTTGAGGCTTTAAACATCATGGATGTCTTACAATTTTATACGTAAAAATATGACAATTCTTTTACAATAGTACTGTTTTTTTTAAATTATGTATTGATTCTTTATGTCATCATCTAACAATATTTTTTATTTGCTATAAGATGTATTTTGTAACATTTTAAGTTGAAAGTGAAAGAATGTTCACAACATTCCAACATTATCGTGTTGTACTTCTAAATATTCATTCGTCATTTTGGGTATGTAGCATTATTAATTGATCTCTAAAATCATTATTCGTAACGTCATTGTAATAGTTAGATATTAAATATCTTAAATATTGCACTTGTAAAATTGTATTTGTAGGGAAGCGTGAATTATTTCCTTTGTGATGCCAGAATTGAATTTATGAAAAATTATAACAAAATTTTAATGATGCACTGTTATTGTATAAGGAAATTTTATAGAAATAAGTTTTTGTTTTCCAAAAGTAGTATTGATGTTTTATTGTTAATAAAAAAAAATTGATTTGTTAGTTTTGTCTCTTATTTATTTTCAGTATACCTACTCATACTATTTTATCACACACTAGATGTGAATTTAATTTAAAATAATAGTATAAGGTAATACTTCATTATGTTTTAAATAAATAGTAGATAGGGTAATCACTAATCATGCAATTATTGCACATTCAATAGGTATGATATGAATAAATATTTTGCAGAATCACTACATTCACCAGGTACTTTTTTTAATAATTACAAAGGTACCTAATTTATAAGTTTCGTGCGGGATGCCTACGTATTAGGTTTTGCTAATTTAGACTGCACAATTGGCTCAGTGGCTGGATAACCGGGTGCCGCACAACGTGTAGCTTCGATTCCCACACGGAACAACTCTTTATGTGATCCACAAATTATTGTTTCGGGTCTGGAATAGTCTCAATGGTTGGGTTTAGGTGTTATGTGTACGTGATATTATATGTTTGTAAACGCATCCACGACACAGGAGAAAATCCTAGTGTAGGGCAACCGAGACAACATTTTTAAATTACTATAAGGTCTCATGTATTTAATAGAGGGCGATTTTATTGTGTTTGTGGGATACCCACATCAAGCAGAATTACATGTTCGGAATATGTTCCGTTCCGTTCCATTCAATGGCATGTGCTAATGGCCTGTATTAAGACAAGTAAACTGGTGTATAGTTCTTTACTGCCTATCTATTTTACCATAATGGAAATACCTGGTATTGGGTAAATAATACAATTACGTATTGTTTTTTAGTTTTTGCATTCCATTCACCGATAGAACGATAAACACATCAAAACATCTTCGACGTTATCAATGTGACGTGAGTTTCCGTAAAATTATTATTATTACTTCCATAGATTATATGAATTAAGCTGGACCAATATCTTTATCAATTACGTGAGAATTGGTACAACTACCTACTTTTTTTTTCTATATTTTATTACTCACTGAGGTATGATTTTATCGAGTACCTACCTGGGTAGCTAATCAATATTAAGTACCAGTCTTATTAATTTTAATTAGCTCGGTATTTTGTGTATGTATTTGTTGACAATTTAGGTGAACATGTCTGTCTTATACGGTCATGATGATTCACCTAGGCTAGGCATTTCTGTAATGGAATTTATTTAATTCGAGTGCAATCTAGATAGATTAACTAAATAGTTTCCGCTTGCTAAGAAGGCAAGTGCCTCCCCGTCCCGTGCTGTGGACAATCTATTGGGTTCGGTAACCCAATAGGTTTCCCGGTACCTGTGTACCGGGGCTCCGGCTCAAAACACGAGTACCTAGGTAGGAACGGGGTGATTTTTAGTCAGTTAGTCTGACACTCTCTCGCCTCACCCAAAGCGGTAGGAGTCATTAAATTATTTTCCCCTTATCTTCTTCTATTTACCTGTCTACATCCGTAGCAACTTCACCTATTCCAATAATATTCTCTTATCAATATTCGACAGTTCCTCGAAAATATTTTGTCAGGCGCAAAGCATTCATCATCGATTAATATGACGTTATTTTCTGCAAAGGTAAAGGTTGCGGGTAGGTTAGTTAGATAAAATCGATGGCCCATCGATTTTATCGAATTGTATTTTATTTGTACCCATCGACGATGGGTACCTAACAAAGGACCTGCGTTTGTGGACCACGTTTTTACATAGGTAGATACACAGATATAATAAAGAATATTTCTGTGGGTAGATAAGTGCGTAAGTAGTGCCTTAGGTACGGGTAGGTAAGTACTTATTTCATATTGCACTTTATGCTGCCTCGTTAGTCGTTGGTCGAGTTGTAGCAAGTTCGACTGCCGATCAAGAGGTCTCAGGTTCGATTACTGGGTCGGGCAAAGTGAGGTTAGAGACTTGCAGTTTTAGTTTAGTAGGTAATTAGCTCGTCTTTTATTGTATGAGTCTTCTAACGTAACTATTGGACATTTTATGTAGGTATCTACTTACTGTTTACCCCTTGAAAGAATTAAGGGCGAGACGTTAACCTATGTATAAGTACTGTACCCAAACCTTATATATTTACACAGTAGGTAGGTATCACACATTCTCTATAATCTATCTGACAACCTAGTGATACAAACAATGTGTTATCTTAATATTATCAGTCATGTACACATATTTCCCTTGAATGTCACTATTTTTATCTTAAAACACATCACGTAATTGTGTGACCTTCGAGATCTTTTATTTAAGTAATAAAGGTTATTTATTTACTTAGGTACACATACCTACGTATCAGCCTCTTTGGTTCAGTGGCCGCGGTAAGGAGAGGTACACAAAGGTGCAGTAGGTACATGTATTATGAACTCAGGCCCGAGTGAATAGGTTGCTTATGGAACGACATGCTCCATCGTAGACAGCATCATCGCTTACCACGTAACACAAACGTCGGCCCATCAATATTTAAATTTTTCCCATCAATTTTTTTAATGGGACAAGCCCGCCACACCCTCCCAAAATCACTGCAACTCCTGTAAGCCAGGATCTACAGTAGATACAACCATGAAAACACCGGAACACTGAAGTCCCGCGTCCCAGGCGTCTTTTATATCGATAGGTTTTGATTTTGGATATCCAAAATTAATCAAATAGCTAGATACATAGGTTGACAACAACAAACTAGCCCTTAAACTGTCAAACACCAAGCGGTCACCGGTGACCGCGACCTATTGTTCTTTAATTGTGTCTGTAAAACCGGTACTCGACGAGTTAATGGGCTTCATGGAAAATTTGACCTATCAACATCAATGATCGTCAAGTGTTTTATAATAATTCCGTTGTTAACAGATCTAATATCATTAAACATCACGCTGCGATCTATAGATATGAGTCGAGCAGCGGGTAAAACATTATGAAAAAGTTGATTGTGAAGACGCGTATTGTTATTTTATTTGGTGAGGGTAGGTAGCAGGGGCGTAGCTAGCGCCGTATCTCCCGTATCACTTATACAGGGACACGGGGGCCCCAACGTGCGTAAGCAAAAATTAATTATATATTTTTTTTAATTTATTTAAAAAATCAAAAGTCAAAAGTCTAAATAACTAAATAATTTTTATCCCGCGTGAAGCATGCGTTTAAAAATCGACAAAACTTAATTAAGAAAAACTAAAGACACTAAAGTTATCAAAGTCCGATAATTTAAACAAAAATATGGGGATTGCCTGGAAAGTTTTTCGGGAGTGTTAAAAATTGGTCATTGTTTAGACTTTAATGTAGGTAGGTACGTACTCTTTCAAAATTCATCTCGGGAAAATGGCGGCCAATAACAGTTTCTTTTATAATACATACAATATTTTTTCCTTGTGCATTTTATGAGAAAATCGAAACTACCCTCAAAAACAATTTAACGTATCGATACTCACTTTATGTTAATGATATGAAACTTTAGCAACGCATCCTTCATTTTCAA